TAGAAATCTATCCTCTAAAGAACAAGTGACAGTTTAATTTGTATTATAAAAACTCAACAATGATTAAATAATCAGTATTACTGATAACATGTTATCGTCATTCCACTTTTCTTGGTTTATCATTAAACATAGCAATAAGGGATATAAATTAGTTAGATATTCTAATTAATAATTATAACTTTGTCTGACACCTGAATGTGCAAGCATGTTAATTTCCTGAAGCACATAAAGGTATTACTATAAAGTATTCATACCATTTTTGCTAAGTATCTATAGACAATTACATAGACAAAGTTACACTTATGTCAGACATTCTGTATTAAATTCAAATTACTGCCATTCTCCCCTCAGGTTTACTAATAATCATGTCAGACGTGTACATAGGTCGTAGTTGCAAAACCAGGTTGAAAGATTTATCTCAAGGATCCCGAGCTCAAGTAAGAGATGTATAATTAACCCAGTATAACTGGCTGCACCAGTTGCTGACTGCTGAGGTCATAAGCATAACAGAAGAAAGCATATTATGTGGAAAGTGCTACAAGCGGTACCTCAAGCAAAGGCCATTGCAGTCTGAATTGTATGGAGCTTCTGGTATCAGCACTCCAGATGACCTGGCGAACTGATTTCATGTTATCCAACAAACTACTACTGATCTCTGTTGAGAAATTATTTCATGGTGGCAATTCACATAAAAGATGTGTCGTATGTCGAAAAGAGGGCACTGGGCTATGCACTATACCCCAGCGTGCCAGGACAAACTTGATATTTTGCCATTTTCTATGGTGTCCCCCTGATGCTCGAGTTTGCAATGACCATGTAATTGGTGACTTTCTGAATCCTTCTCTGCCACTAGATCTGCAAACGAGAACCGTCGGTTCTTCATCTGCAAGAAAGAGCTAATCAGGTTGTCAATGACCTTCTTAAACTAAGCCATTTCCTTTCTGCTGGCACACCAACCAACACAGGCATAGATGTAAACCATCTCAGAAGTGAAGAGTTCAAAGCATGGACTGGTTACACACTTGAACAAATGCAGCAAATCCATAGCATTTGCTCCTTACACATCAATATCAAATAAATAATGTCATGTTATGAAAAGAGAACGAGGTATACAACAAAGGAACCAACAGGCAAACTGAGGAGCATGAAAACGTCTAACTTCATATCTCACAAAGAAATCAAACACTTTCCATTGATATCACTATTGCAACCTTGTTCTCTCGATACTTTGTGTTGTGCGTTTATCTTTAAGCTGTTAACATTTTGAACTAAATCGTATCATTGAGAACAACCCATCAATTATCAAATCAACCGCGATAAGCATCTCCAAAAGTTTGTTACTATCCAGAAATAGGAAGTACATCGAAATCTTCAGAGCTTGATGCAAATGGAGAACTATCGCTGTTGGTTCATTGCTGCAGAAAAAAAAAGATCGTAAGCGGCTGAGGTTCCTTAATTTCCAATTTTGGTGGATATATACGATAGACTTATCCAAAACATTCCTTGTTATTTAAAGAGAAGACATAATCTTTATATCTAAAAGTGAAGTTGAAGGACTTTACGCGGTCTTCGTGTCCCGGTTTGATAAACTCTTCGATGGAATCAGCTTCGTAAGAAAACAAAAAGAAGATATGATAATTAAGATTTAAAAAAATTATGGTGCAAATGCACCTGCCATTCTAGATATTTCCTTTCGACCACATTAAAATTTCCTGAGTCGCCTACTAGGCGTTAAAATTTAGGCCTTTACCATCAGTGACAAGTTTCAGAAAAAAACACCCAAGAAAATACCAATGTCTACACAATCCTAATCCAAACTCGAATTAAATAGAATCAGGGCAAACTATGAAGAAATGAAAGATATACAGTGTATTTCTGAAAAAGAAGGACAAAATAGCTGCTTGATGTATTTTAACTCTAATGTAAACAAGATGAACAACACACCACTATTTATAGTAATGAACATCGTAATAACAAGTATTCAACCAATCAGCTTTATGTCGCACAAAGAACTAGAATGTTTCCCAATAAGATGGTTATAACGACTGTAAAACTCTCCTATAATCTTCATCAACCTTTTGAAACCTTGTGTTGTGAGTTTATTTGCCCGCTGTCGACCTGTTAAAAGAAATTTGTCAAATAAGGAACAACCCACTGGATATTGGACCAACGGCGGGAAGAAGGTCATTGCTACCTAGAAATATAAAGATCACAAAACGAAAATCCAGATCTCGACGCTAATTATACACATTAGCGGAAAACTGACAATGTAAGCTCAACATATAGACGACGAACATGAATACAGAAAAAGCTATGTGACACGGAATATAAATTGTCGACATATTTGTGTTACTGTCTTATCGTGGTTTTATACCTATGACTTTGACTGATGAAAGCCTTTGGACTTTTCCATTCTGTAATCAGTTTAAGTGCTATCGTAATTCTGTGCTGTAATATTTATCAAACAAGTACGAGCAGAACAAACATATTTTTTACAAATAAAGATTTAGAATTTGAGGCTCCTTTGTTATAATATATCTTGTTCTGATTTGTGATCGTTATATTACTTATTAAGATTGACCAAGAGGCAGAAGACGTTTGCTCTTCCGGAACACCTGGTCTTATTCTATTTGTCAATTTGTTTAGAAGTGTCATGTAAATCTTTCTTTTGGTAATATTTTGCCATAGTTTATTTTAATTGACTTTGAGTTTAGATCAGGATGACGTAAACATGTTGGCATTTTCTTGTTGTTTTGTTCTTTTGCAATTAGAAAACTGTAATAAACTCAAATGCAACAAAAGAATTCATCAAACTTAACAACATTTGAATATTTTAAATAAGCCAAAAATGAGTGTCACATCTGCCTGGATTTCTTTATATACATCACAATAACAATCCGCAGTATTGGGTTTGACCTTATGGATTGTTGTTCTTGTCATAATTCTCTGAAAGTGAAAAATGTAGAAACACAAAAACAGGTCAACATTTTGTTTTAATTACATCTAAAAACTCCTGTTTACATGAGATACACGAACTACATACATCTTAATTCGATATCACGTTTATAGTGGTTTTAACGTTATATATGTATACTATAAGAATAGTGCGGAAGTTGCATGCTGGGAAGGTAAGTAGCGAGGATCCCTATCCACGGAATTCTAGGTTGAAAGGAATTTTTCCTATTAAACTATTTGATATTTTACAAATGATTCTGGCCTTCTCTAGGTGTGATTAGGTGTTATATTGGGCCTCGAAAATACCCATCATTCGGTATAGTTTATTGGTAAAATATGATTGACAGTACCAGAGGAAATATCATGGAAGTATTCTACAAACAAACCAGCCGTAATGAATTAATTCTACTTCCAACAAGATTTTGTTTACATATATAATTATTAGACTTTTTAAATATTTGAAAAGACGAAAATTATGGTCACTTGCAAGTGGGTAACATTTCTTTTAGCATAATAGATATCCTATCGCCCTTCCCTCGATTAAAGGAAACAATGTCGAAATGTATCACATCTGTCGTAATCTCGTTAGTTAGTAACCGAGCCCCTATATAATTATAATATCAATCACCTAGTCCAGAATACCAGTCCTATTAGTAATCTATAATAAAGAGCGTCGTCATATTTGTCGAATCAGCAACCTAGCAACAGTATACTCGCCACACCAGTAACCTAGCAACAGTATACTTGTCACACCAGTAACCTAGCAACAGTATACTCGTCACACCAGTAACCTAGCAACAGTATACTTGTCACACCAGTACCCTAGCAACAGTATACTCGTCACACCAGTAACCTAGCAACAGTATACTAGGCACACCAGTAACCTAGCCTCACTATACCCGTCACACCAGTAACCTAGTCTCAGTATACTTGTCACACCAGTAACCTAGCAACAGTATACTCGTCACACCAGTAACCTAGCAACAGTATACTCGTCACACCAGTAACCTAGCAACAGTATACTCGTCACACCAGTAACCTAGCAACAGTATACTCGTCACACCAGTAACCTAGCAACAGTATACTCGTCACACCAGAAACCTAACAACAGTATACTTGTCACACGAGTAACCTAGCCTCTGTATACCCGTCAAACCAGAAACCTAGTCCCAGTATACTTGTCACACCAGTAATGTAGCAACAGTATAATTGTCACACCAGTAACCTAGCCCCGGTATACTTGTCACACCAATAACCTAGTCCCAATATCGACTAAGTGTACCCGCCATACCAGTAACCGATGGAAAACACGTTGCATTGACTAACGACCACTGATGACACTACAGAAAATGGTCCGTCCTAACCAACACCGGCCAGTGACAGATTCCAAGCAGCAGGTGAAATATTCTACTTCATAACTAGATCGAGGCCAGAGACAGAGCAGTAATCTGTATATACTTAATACTCCGATACAACATAGAATGGTAACTTACAATATCACTGTTCCGAGATATAAAATATCCATATTAGGTCATAATGTTGATGTAACCCGTTAGTATATATTGAAATCATAAAAAATATTAATATAAACAATTTGGTCCATTTCTGGCGGTTTCAAGTCTAAATGATCAAAATACAAATGTAGCTTTACATATTTACCATGTAGATTTTGTCTTTAGAGTAACTCCACGCTTTAGAACAAGGTTACGTGCCATTTTAAATGACAAACGTGGCAAAATGATTTGTTTCCTATTTTCCTCTCGAAACATTTGCTGTGAAAAACACCAGTTAAAAAACAAAGTGATCATGAAGTAGAAAACTTGTAGCGACAGCGATCAGATAGGTCCTACAGATGGAAAATTTACACTGTAGTGTATAAAGGTTCCACAATGTAATGAAAACTATTTACAAATCAGATGATAATTGTCTCATCAGTAGGTTAAACATATTATAACGTGGTAAAAAAGATGTTATTGACCTCCTCATGTTATCGTTGTTGTGATACAACTTGAGTGACAGGTATTGGTTAAATCTATGTAACCTGATCAGTGCACACTTAACAATGATACCAGCTTAAGTTTACGACTGTTTGACTTCAGAGGCGTGCATTTTTTCATCATCTCCTTCCTGACGAAATTCAGCCGATCTGACGACTGGGTATTGGGTAGTCCGACTTGGGGTCTCGTTAGCACCTGGTTGTGGACGACTGTCTGTGATGGTTGAGCTGTTGTCTGAGTGTTCGCCCCTAATTTACATTTACTTTGCTTTAAATGTCTTTTTAACAGGTCCTTGAGACGTGTCTTCTCTAAATTCAAACGTTTTATTTCCATTTGTAAATCACAATACTTTACTTCCAGCTCAGTAATCGTCTGCATGAAACATTGAAAAGCAAAATCATTGAAGTTCAATAACAAAAAGTAAATATAAAAAATAAATAAATAAAAAAAGAAAAAAAAAAAAAAAAAAAACAGAAAAAAAAAACCACCGACATTGTAAACGAAATCTCAAACAGGTTCTACTGGTAAGTACTTGTGTCATATTCGACCAGCTAAAACGGCTTACATAAAATTGTATACAAAACGATGTAATATATAGGACAGGTTTCTTTATGTAGTATTGGTAAACACATTCCATCATGAATTTGTAAAAATATCCCTATTGTGGTAATACACGTAAAACAGCATCCTGAATACTCCTTTCTTTAGTATCAATAATCTAAAGTTAGGAATGTGCTGTGGTTTTGATAGGAGTATATATCAGATTAGTTATAACTGTGTAGGTGTGTATATAGAGAGGTAAATCTATGGTGAGTTATAACTGTGTAGGTGTCTATATAGAGGTAAATCTATGGTGATTTATAACTGTGTAGGTGTCTATATAGAGAGGTAAATCTATGGTGAGTTATAACTGTGTAGGTGTCTATATAGAGAGGTAAATCTATGGTGAGTTATAACTGTGTAGGTGTCTATATATAGAGGTAAATCTATGGTGAGTTATAACTGTGTAGGTGTCTATATAGAGAGGTAAATCTATGGTGAGTTATAACTGTGTAGGTGTCTATATAGAGAGGTAAATCTATGGTGAGTTATAACTGTGTAGGTGTCTATATAGAGGTAAATCTATGGTGAGTTATAACTGTGTAGGTGTCTATATAGAGGTAAATCTATAGGGTGTTATAACTGTGTAGGTGTCTATATAGAGGTAAATCTATAGGGTGTTATAACTGTGTATGTGTCTATATAGAGGTAAATCTATGGTGATTTATAACTGTGTAGGTGTCTATATATAGAGGTAAATCTATGGTGAGTTATAACTGTGTAGGTGTCTATATAGAGGTAAATCTATGGTGAGTTATAACTGTGTAGGTGTCTATATAGAGGTAAATCTATAGGGTGTTATAACTGTGTATGTGTCTATATAGAGGTAAATCTATGGTGATTTATAACTGTGTAGGTGTCTATATAGAGGTAAATCTATAGGGTGTTATAACTGTGTAGGTGTATATGTAGAAGTAAATCTATGGTGATTTATAACTGTGCAGGTGTCTATATAGAGGTAAATCTATGGTGAGTTATAACTGTGTAGGTGTCTATATATAGAGGTAAATCTATGGTGAGTTATAACTGTGTAGTAGTCTATATAGAGGTAAATCTATGGTGAGTTATAACTGTGTAGGTGTCTATATAGAGGTAAATCTATGGTGAGTTATAACTGTGTAGGTGTCTATATAGAGGTAAATCTATGGTGAGTTATAACTGTGTATGTGTCTATATAGAGGTAAATCTATGGTGAGTTATAACTGTGTAGGTGTCTATATAGAGGTAAATCTATGGTGATTTATAACTGTGTAGGTGTCCATAGAGAGGTAAATCTATGGTGAGTTATTACTGTGTAGGTGTGTATGTAGAGGTAAATCTATGGTGAGTTATAACTATGTAGGTTTCTATATATAGAGGTAAATCTATGATGAGTTATAACTGTGTAGGTGTCCATAGAGAGGTAAATCTATGCTGAGTTTTAACTGTGTAGGTGTCTATATAGAGGTAAATCTATGGTGAGTTTTAACTGTGTAGGTGTCTATATAGAGGTAAATCTATGGAGATTTATAACTTTGTATGTGTCTATATAATGAGGTAAATCTATGGTGAGTTATAACTGTGTAGGTGTCTATATAGAGGTAAATCTATGGGTTGTTATAACTGTGTAGGTGTTTGTATAGAGGTATATGTATAGTGCGTTATAACTGTGTATGTGTCTATATAGAGGTAAATTTATGAGGTGTTATAACTGTGTAGGTGTCTATATAGAGGTAAATCTATGCTGAGTTATAACTGTGTAGGTGTCTATATAGAGGTAAATCTATGGTGAGTTATAACTGTGTAGGTGTCTATATAGAGGTAAATCTTTGGTGAGTTATAACTGTGCAGGTGTCTATATAGAGGTAAATCTATGGTGAGTTATAACTGTGTAGGTGTCTATATAGAGGTAAATCTATAGGGTGTTATAACTGTGTAGGTGTATATGTAGAAGTAAATCTATGGTGATTTATAACTGTGCAGGTGTCTATATAGAGGTAAATCTATGGTGAGTTATAACTGTGTAGGTGTCTATATAGAGAGGTAAATCTATGGTGAGTTATAACTGTGTAGGTCTCTATATAGAGGTAAATCTATGGTGAGTTATAACTGTGTAGGTGTCTATATAGAGGTAAATATATGGTGAGTTATAACTGTGTAGGTGTCTATATATAGAGGTAAATCTATGGTGAGTTATAACTGTGTAGGTGTCTATATAGAGGTAAATCTATAGGGTGTTATAACTGTGTAGGTGTATATGTAGAAGTAAATCTATGGTGATTTATAACTGTGCAGGTGTCTATATAGAGGTAAATCTATGGTGAGTTATAACTGTGTAGGTGTCTATATAGAGGTAAATCTATGGTGAGTTATAACTGTGTAGGTGTCTATATAGAGGTAAATCTATGGTGAGTTATAACTGTGTAGGTGTCTATATAGAGGTAAATCTATGGTGAGTTATAACTGTGTAGGTGTATACGTAGAAGTAAATCTCAATAGAGATTATGTTATTAATTAATAATGAGATAAAATGACTGAGAACCTTCTCCAGATCCTTTCCATATTCCTTCCTCCTCCTACGACATCGTATTGACGATCGTCTGTTCTGTTCCCGTCGTCGATGTAGCTTTCGTACTTCGTCATTTGTTAACTATACATAACAAAAAATACATAATATTTGTGGTACATCGGATATAACTGTATGTAAGAAAAAATATCCTAAATTGTTAAAGCTTTGTAATATATCCTAAATTGTTAAAGCTTTGTAATATATCCTCAATTGTTGTAGCTTTTTAAAGTTACTTAACTTTTGGAGAAGGGATTTTACAAAATTGAAGAAACTGACCGGAGGCCATACTTTTTAATGAATAAACAACTACACATTACCTACAAGTACACATACTACGCTTCAGCAAAATATATACATTTTGTACCCTAAGTATCGTTGATAAATATATACACATGATTTCTATCCTTTGTACCCTAAGTATCGTTGATAAATATATACACATGATTTCTATCCTTTGTACCCTAAGTATCGTTGATAAATATATACACATGATTTCTATCCTTTGTACCCTAAGTATCGTTGATAAATATATACACATGATTTCTATCCTTTGTACCCTAAGTATCGTTGATAAATATATACACATGATTTCTATCCTTTGTACCCTAAGTATCGTTGATAAATATATACATGATTTCTATCCTTTGTACCCTAAGTATCGTTGATAAATATATTCACATGACTTTCAGTCTTTGTACCCTAAGTATCGTTGATAAATATATTCACATGACTTCCAGTCTTTGCACCCTAAGTATCGTTGATAAATATATACACATGATTTCCAGTATTTGTACCCTAAGTATCGTTGATAAATATATACACATGATTTCTATCCTTTGTACCCTAAGTATCGTTGATAAATATATTCACATGACTTTCAGTCTTTGTACCCTAAGTATCGTTGATAAATATATACACATGATATCCAGTCTTTGTACCCTAAGTATCGTTGATAAATATATACACATGATATCCAGTCTTTGTACCCTAAGTATCGTTGATAAATATATACACATGATTTCTATCCTTTGTACCCTAAGTATCGTTGATAAATATATACACATGATTTCTATCCTTTGTACCCTAAGTATCGTTGATCAATATATTCACATGACTTTCAGTCTTTGTACCCTAAGTATCGTTGATAAATGTATACACATGATTTACAGTCTTTGTACCTTAAGTATCGTTGATAAATGTATACACATGCTTTACAGTCTTTGTACCCTAAGTATCGTTGATAAATGTATACACATGATTTCCATCTTTGTTCCAGAGTATCGTTGATAAATAAATCTCATTATTTCTATCCTTTGTACCCTAAGTATAGTTGATAAATATATACACATGATTTCCATCTTTGTTCCAGAGTATCGTTGATAAATATATACACATGATTTCCAGTCTTTGCACCCTAGGTATCGTTGATAAATATATACACATGATTTCCAGTCTTTGTAACTTAAGTATCGTTGATAAATATATTCACATGATTTCCAGTATTTGTACCCTAAGTATCGTTGATAAATGTATACACATGATTTCCAGTCTTTGTACCCTAAGTATCGTTGATAAATATATACACATGATTTCCATCTTTGTACACTAACTATCGTTGATAAATATATACACATGATTTCCAGTCTTTGTACACTTAGTATCGTTGATAAATATATACACATGATTTCCAGTCTTTGTACCCTAAGTATCGTTGATAAATATATACACATGATATCCAGTCTTTGTACCCTAATAATCGTTGATAAATATATACATGATTTCTATCCTTTGTACCCTAAGTATCGTTGATAAATATAAACACATGATTTCTATCCTTTGTACCTGAGTATCGTTGAAAATGTATACACATGATTTCCATCTTTGTACCCTAAGTATCGTTGATAAATATATACACATGATTTCCATCTTTGTTCCTGAGTATCGTTGATTAATATATACACATGATATCCAGTCTTTGTAAACTAAGTATCGTTGATAAATATATACACATGATTTCTATCCTTTTCCATCTTGAAAAATATATCCACATGATTTCCAGTCTTTGTATCGTTGATAAATATATACACATGATTTCCAGTCTTTGTACACTAAGTATCGTTGATAAATATATACACATGATTTCTATCCTTTGTACCTGAGTACCGTTGATAACTATATGCACATGACTTCCAGTCTTTGTACCCTAAGTATCGTTGATAAATATATCTCATGATTTCTATCCTTTGTACCCCAAGTATCGTTGATAAATATATACACATGATTTCTATCCTTTGTACCCTAAGTATCGTTGATAAATATATACACATGATTTCCAGTCTTTGTACCCTAAGTATCGTTGATAAATATATCTCATGATTTCTATCCTTTGTACCCCAAGTATCGTTGATAAATATATACACATGATTTCTATCCTTTGTACCCTAAGTATCGTTGATAAATATATACACATGATTTCCAGTCTTTGTACATTAAGTATCGTTGATAAATGTATGCACGACTTCCAGTCTTTGTACCCTAAGTATCGTTGATAAATATATACACACGACTTCCAGTCTTTGTACCCTAAGTATCGTTGATAAATATATACACATGATCTCCAGTCTTTGTACCCTAAGTATCGTTGATAAATATATACACATGATTTCTATCCTTTGTACCCTAAGTATCGTTGATAAATATATACACATGATTTCCAGTCTTTGTACCTTAAGTATCGTTGATAAATATATACACATGATTTCCAGTCTTTGTGCTCTAAATATCGTTGATAAATGTATACACATGATTTCCAGTCTTTGTACCCTAAGTATCGTTGATAAATATATAAACATGATTTCCATCTTTGTACACTAACTATCGTTGATAAATATATACACATGATTTCCAGTCTTTGTACACTTAGTATCGTTGATAAATATATCCACATGATTTCCAGTCTTTGTACCCTAAGTATCGTTGATAAATATATACATGATTTCTATCCTTTGTACCCTAAGTATCGTTGATAAATATAAACACATGATTTCTATCCTTTGTACCTGAGTATCGTTGAAAATGTATACACATGATTTCCATCTTTGTACCCTAAGTATCGTTGATAGATATATACACATGATTTCCATCTTTGTTCCTGAGTATCGTTGATAAATATATACATGATTTCTATCCTTTGTACCTTAAGTATCGTTGATAAATATACACACATGATTTCCATCTTTGTTCCTGAGTATCGTTGATTAATATATACACATGATATCCAGTCTTTGTAAACTAAGTATCGTTGATAAATATATCTCACGATTTCTATCCTTTGTACCCTAAGTATCGTTGAAAAATATATAAACATGATTTCCATCTTTGTTCCTGAGTATCGTTCCAAAATGTAATCTACGAATCCAAACAGATTTTAGTGAATTTATAAAAGAAATAATATGTATCATTTTTAGTCCCCCATCTAAATATTCTTTAATAACAATGTCTCGTTTAACCTTATCAACTTTACTATTCCATAGGAAATGGTATAATTCTGTGTTAAGAGTCTTGATAAAGGTTTCATCAGGATTTGGAAGTGAAATAAAAAGATGATTTAGTTGAGAGATTACCAAAGTTTTTAATTACTGTTAGTCTTCCAATTGAAGTAAGTAGTATTCTACTCCACATTTTAAGTATACTTTTAATTTTCACAAGTTTTTTATCAAAGATTAATTTTGTTATTTTATGCAAATCTACATCGAAGTCTATCCCTAAAACCGAGAACTTTGTATTTCCCCATTGTAGTCTCCATTCAGGAAAGAAAGTTTCATTACTATATTTTTTACTTCCTATCCATACAACCTCAGTTTTTGATTCGTTTATTCTTAACCCTGATAGTTTTGCAAAAAAAATCTAACTCCTTCATTGTTTCTTTTAATGATATTTCTGTACCATCAAGAATAACTGTGGTATCATCTGCATATTGAGATAATAAAATTGGTTCCCCATCTATTGATATACCTTTTATTTTTCTATTATTTCTGATTCCAAGGGCCAACATTTCAGCACATAATATGAATAAATCAGCTGAAATAGGATCACCTTGTCGACAGCCTCGTTTCAAGTCGAAAAAGGGAGATAAACTACCACCTTGATTTATTGCAGATTTAGAATTATTGCGCAAAGTCGTTATCCATTTTCTCATACTAGGTCCGAAATTTAAAAAAAGTAAAACTTCATCAACAAATTTCCATGACACAGAATCAAAGGCTTTCTCAAAATCTATAATAAGTAACAGGCCAGGAAGATCAAATTCTTCTGCATATTGCATCATATCATAGATTAATCTTGTGTTTTCTCCCATGTACCTCCCACTAATAAATCCAGTTTGATCCATATTTATTAATTTATCTAATACAGTCTTAATTCTACTTGTGATCGCTCCAGATGCAATTTTATATACAGTATTCAATAGAGAAATTGGTCGACAGTTTTTAAAATTGATCTTAATATAAAATAACCAATATTTTTCCAAAAGCATTTAAAGAATTCAACTGTTAATCCATCTGAACCAGGGCTTTTGTTATTTTTCATTTTCTTCAAAGTCGCAGCTGCCTCATGATATTGAATAGGTCCTTCTAACATATTACATTCTTGATCATTCAATTTTGGAATCTCAACATCTTTTCTTAAAATTGTGTTTAAATCAACCCTCTCTGTATTATCATAACGATCATATAAAGATTTATAGAATTTGGTAATTTCAATTCAGATACCATCTTGGTTTGAAATAATTACTCCATCATCTTTTTCTATTTTAAGTATGATTTCCATCTTTGTACCCTAAGTACCGTTGAGAAATATATGTACATGACTTCTAGTCTTTGTACCCTAAGTATCGTTGATAAATAAATCTCATGATTTCTATTCTTTGTACCCTAAGTATAGTTGATAAATATATACACATGATTTCATTCTTTGTTCTTGAGTATCGTTGATAAATATATACACATGATTTCCATCTTTGTATCCTAAGTATCGTTGATAAATATATGCACATGACTTCCAGTCTTTGTACCCTAAGTATC